GACAATAATAATAATAATAATAATAATAATAATCTCATGGACTTTCTTGCCCAGGCTGGTTTTGAACCTTGATCCTCAAATCTCAGCCTCCTGAGTAGCTAGGATTATAAGTGTGAGCCACTGGCGCCCAGCCCCCTCATTTTTTTTTTAAAGCAATGTTTTCCAGACTATACACTATACAGACTATACCATACAGACTATATCTTTTTGTTGGATGGCTAGGTGAGTGGGAGTGCTGCCTCATACATGGTAAAATATACAGTATCACTGAACTACAACTCTTTTTTTTTGTTTTCCTAGAATGATCATTTTGTAATGATTCTAAACATTTATACTTCTCCTTCCCCCACTGTTTGTGTGTGCGTGTGCATCTCTCTCTCTCTCTCTCTCTCTCTCTGTATCTGTGTGTGCCAGCTCTGGAGCTTGAATTCAGAGCCTGGGTGCTACCTCGGTGCTTGTTTGCTCAAGACTAGTTCTCTACCACTTGAACCACAGATCCACTTCTGACTTTTTGGTAGTTAATTGGAAATAAGAGTCTCATGGACTTTCCTATCCCAGCTAGCTTTAAACTGAAATCCTCAGATCTCAGCCTCCTGAGTAGCTAGGACTGTAGGCATGAGCTACCAGTGCTCAGCTTTACCCCCTTTTTAATACAATTATTATTTTATTTTGGAGACAATGTATTTTTGAGTAATATGAGGCAAGTTTTATTATAATGCTTCTATACATCCACACTGAACAAATTCACCCTGCTCTACTCTATTCCCATTGCTCTTCTCTCTCATATGAACCCAGTAATAGGTAGTAAGTGGGTATAGGAGTGGCAGGAAGCCTGCTCAGGAGCTGGGGTTCCCACACTCAGAATCAAGGTTGTTCTCCTGGTGGCCCATTTCCAGGTGAAAACATTAAGGGTATATAGTCAGCCCTATTTAAAGATCCTGAAAGACTAGAAAGCTTAGACAGAAAACTGGCTATAATGCCCAGTTCCATTAGTGCATCCTAATGAAGCACTTCCACAGAGGAACCCTCTCTTTTCTACAGGCCACAGGGACAGACCAGGTGGTAAGACTAAGCCTGCTTGCTGGAAACCTTGTTATCCTCACCTACTACACTACCTGGCTGACTCTTTTGCCATTTGTCACAAGTATATCTTGCCATGAGCCTTCAGCATCACCATTTCACTGACTGTGGGCCGTCCACTGCTCCTGCTTTAGCTCACCTACATGAGCTAAAGAGCCTGGAATTCACATCTAATGAAACAAAGCCCCTCTTTTCCTACTCATTCTCTAGAAACCAGAAGGGGCAGAGAACCTAAAAGCCTCCCTCATACCTTCTTCAGGCTCAGGGACTGAACCATGCTGGTCTTGCCTACCTTACTAGCATTCCTCTGTCACTATTTTTCTCTAGGTTTGTGCCCTTTTGCCTCAGCTTCCTTTCACATTCTTAGAAGACATGATTCTTAGAAGGCATGAGACCTCTTCTACTCTCCTCATAAAACCTGCCTTGAACAAAGGCAGCTCTTCTGCCAATCCAGACCCAACACAGGACAAAGCCCCCTCTCCCCTCAGACCCACTGCTCCTTGTAAAGGCCCAGACCCCAAAACCCAAGGCTGGTTTGTTTGGGAGAACTTAACAATGAATGGCCAGGCACTGGTGACTCATGACTATAATCCCAGCTACTAATGCCTATAATCCTAGCTACTGCAATCTGAGATGGAGGTTCAAAGCCAGACAAGGCAGGAAAGTCTATGAAACTTTTTTTTTTTTTTTTTTTTTTTTTTTTTTTTTTGTCGGTCGTGGGGGCTTGAACTCTGGGCCTGGGCGCTGTCCCTCAGCTCTTCAGCTCAAGGCGAGCACTCTACCACTTGAGCTACAGCGCCACTTCCGGTTTTCTGGTGGTTTATTGGAGATAGGAGTCTCACAGTCTCTCCTGCCCGGGCTGGCTTTGAACCGTGATCCTCAGATCTCAGCCTCCTGAGTAGCTAGGATTACAGGCGTGAGCCACCAGCGCCCGGCTGAAACTTTTTTTTTTTTTTTTTTGTCAGTCATGGGGCTTGAACTCTGGGCCTGGGCAGTATCAGCTCTTCAGCTCAAGGCGAGCAATCTGCCACTTGAGCCACAGCTCCACTTTGGGTTTTCTAAGTAGTTTATTGGAGATAAGAGTCTCATGGAGTTTCCTGCCTGGGCTGGCTTTGAACCTTGATCCTCAGATCTCAGCGTTCTGAGTGGCTAGGATTACAGGCTTGAGACTCTTATCTCTAATTAACCACCAGAAAACTTTAAGTGAAGCTGTGGCTCAAAGTGGTAGAGTGCTAGCTTTGAGTGAAAGAGCTCAGGGACAGCACCCAGGCCCTGAGCTCAAGCCCCATGACCAACAACAACAACAAAAATGAATATTGATCATAAAAACAGAAACATATACACAAGAGAGAGAGAGAAAGACCCAACAAATTGTTTAAAAGTTTTGTATTGTGCCATACAAAGTTTTCATATACATGTGCATAAGTGAAAAACTTCCCCCTCCTCCCTAAACATCACAGCAGGCCAAAATTTGCTAATATATCATAAAATTAAAACATATATCCCTTCTGAATTCTAAAGAGTTCCAGACACTAGGTTCCATATCTTATAATTTACTAATTTGGCTTGGACATGAACAGTTTCAGTGCCTTTCCAACTTGTCCCTGAATTTTTCTCTCTTCAAAGTTCCAGGCAGTAATTAAATTTAATGCTCTCAAATTAGATAAAGCTAATGATTTATAGCTCATAAATTATCTATACTATATGACCACTAAGAATAGAGCTATGCTTTACACTATTTTGCCCCTGAAACTCTCTAGCACCATGAATAAAATCCTCAATACTAATGACACAACTAGTTTATCCAAGGATCAAATGTATGAGTCTCAAAAATACTACTTTGTTATTGTTTTTATATATAATACAAATTCTCTTCTGTCTTTTTTTTTTAATTGTGAAAATACTGTACAGAGGGGTTATAAATTACATGGGCAAGATAATGAGTACATTTCTTATCAAGCATTGTAGCCTCCTCCTTTGTTTCCCCTTCCCAGCCCATCCTCCTCCTGCCCTCCTCCTATCTTCCTTCCCCCCCACACCAAAGTTATAAAGTTCTTTTTCGACATAAGGACTTGTACATCCCATTGTTGCAATGGGTCCACTTGTATCCCTTCTGTCTTATAGATCTTCCTTCTTGGCAATGTTCTCTAGTGCTTTGACTATCTTGAATAATTATATATCTGTCAATTTCTTGATTGATGCTAATGATAATTCTCTAGGTCACAAATAATGAGCAACAAAGGATTAAATTTAAAGGATTTACACTACTGTAAATGGGTGATATTATCATAATAAAATTGTACTGTCTTTCTCTTCTGCTTTCATGCTTCTCCAAAGAACTATGGCTCCTGTGAGATTTTTGTCTTGCTGTGACTCAAATTCTGAGTCTATTGCTTTTAAAATATGATTTGACAACAAAAATATTTCCAAAAGTTTCAAAAGGGACCACTATTGAGAATTTTAGAAGTACTTGTTGGGCACCAGAGGCTCAAAACTGTAATCCTAGTTATTTAGGAAATTGAGATTTGAGGATCATGGTTCAAAGCCAGTGTGGGCAGGAAAAGTCTATGAGACTCTTACCACCAATTAACCATACACACACACACACACACACACACACACACACACACACACACACACACACACACACACACACACACACACACACACACACACACACACACACACACACACACACAGCTGCAAGTAGATCTGTGGCTCAAGTGGTAAAACACTTAGCCTTGAGCAAAAGAGCCAGGAGGCAGCACCCAAGCCTGAAGTTCAAGCCCCATTACTGGCATGAAAAAGAAAAATAGAAAGAGAAAGAGAAAAAAGGGGGCGGGGGCTGGGAAGGTGGCTCAGTGGTGGAGTGCTTGCTTTGCATGCATGAGGCCCTGGGTTCGATTCCTCAGCACCACATAAACAGAAAAAGCCGGAAGTAGTGCTGTGGCTCAAGTGGTAGTGCGCTTGCCTTGAGCTGAAGAGCTGAGGGACAGCACCCAGGCCTAGAGTTCAGGCTCTACAACCAAAAAAAAAAAAAAAAAAAAAAAAAGATAAAAGACAAGAAAAAAGTTCTAACAGTTGCTTTGCTTTACATCTAGACCATATGCCATTAATTTGTAAAGAAGGACACAATTACTTATCTTCCTACTTCTACTTAAACAATGGAAAATAATGAGTTGAGCTGTGGGCTTTTTTTTGGGGGGGGGGGCAGGGAAAGTATTGGGGTTTGAACTCAAGGCCTCACACTTCCTAGGCAAGGTGCTCTAGGCACTTCAACTACAACTCCAGCCAAACTGTGGGTTTTCTAAGTACTATATAGTTATCTTCTGAGAGTTTAAAGAAGACCAATGAATAATCCATCCATGGGCATGACTCAGAACTTCTGCACTGACTCTTTTCTAATCACCTAAAGTTCAGATATCAAAATAATCCTCATCCTAAAACAGAAAATGCACAGCCAATTTTTTTTGTTGTTGTTGGTCGTGGGGCTTGATCTCTGGGCCTGGGCGCTGTTCCTGTGCTCTTCAGCTCAAGGCGAGTGCTCTACCCCTTGAGCCACAGCGCCATTTCTGGTTTTCTAGTGGTTTATTGGAGATAAGAGGCTCATGGACTTTCCTGCCTGGGCTGGCTTTGAACCTCGATCCTCAGATCTCAGCTTCCTGAGTAGCTAGGATTACAGGCATGAGCCACCGGCGCCTGGCACAGCCAATTATTTAAAACCTTAGTTTCTAAGAATATTTCTCAAGTATGTACTGGGAGAAAATGGTACTCTCTTAAGGGCTAAACTTTGTCAAGCTCAGACAATCTTGATATGAACTTTTAGAAAGGTCCTCAGAAGATACTGTCAGTATTATAAACCCAATATACATATGTGACTTTAAAGCTTCAAGACTGACCCACCAAACAGCAATACCATGGGCATTCTTAGAGCACTGAGTCTCATGACTGTGGAGGTCAAACAGACTCATACACAATTTTATTCTTACTCCTCATATTGCCTCAGTATGGAAAATGCAGTTGGATTAACAAAGAGCTAAAAAACGTTCTGCCAGGCCAGGGAGATAAGGGGAAGCATGACCAGTTCATAAATGTCTTGGTATGTGCATCTGTAAAGACACAATCAACTTGTACAAGGCAACAGTTGTCCCAAGTAAGTATTAAGACAGAAGTCTAGTGATCCAGTAATGATTACCAGTTCTTAGCTCCAAAAGTAAAGAAAGATAAAACCCTGAAAAGTAAAAAGAACCTTCTAGGAGAAACCTTCATTACATTTTCAATGACTGTTCTTACCCATCACAGTGCCTTTGAGTCCAATTTATCCTTCTCAGAAAGGCCATGCTCAAATTGGAACATTCCTTTAACCTACCTTTCTCTAGCCAAGTCTTCCCTGGGAAAGATTAAGGTCACACTTCCCCAAATCTCATTCCTCCATAACTTATAAGTCATTCTGACAGTTATTTACTGGACTTTAGCATTGATCTCCCTATTTTTGTTCTGTCTCCAGAAGGTATAGAGGAAACATACAAACTGAGGTCCTCCTATAAGCTAGTCCCAGAAAAGAAGTTGAAGGATGGGGAACATACAGCACAAAATTTTTCTTGTGAACTTAATCAAATACATATGGTATACATGTTCTCTTGGGTATAAACAATTTGCACTAGTTAATTATCAGCAACATAACTCAAAAAATGATATATCAAATTCTAATGTAACAACTTAAAAGCAGACAGTACTCCACTGGGTTAATAAATCAGAATCATCTAAGAGATAATACTTTAAATATCAATCATTGAAATTCCTAGTAGACATAATTCCCCTCCTCAGTTGCATTTAAAAACAACAGTCATAACAGGAGAAAGAGCAAATACCATGCTCATGATTGCAGGTTACTGGACTGTGGGGATTAAACAATGCAGTTCACAGATAAACACTTCACATCTTCCCTTCAAGTTACTGAATCTTTCTTCTTCCGGAATGGTGATTTCAGCCTCTTCCATACACTGCTTTTGGGTTTAGATTTTTTCTCCATGGCCAGTACCACCTCCTTTTCTTTCCTACGTATCTCTCGTACAAGGGCATGGAAAACATCATCAATGTAGTAGCGGTATGCAGCAGACGTTTCAAAAAAAGGACAGCTAAATTCTCGGGCCAGAGCCAATCCTTCTTCCTTGGTAACCTTTAAAAGAATAAACATGAGAAAGTTTATAATGATGTTCTGGAACACAATTACGACTATGGAAAAGAGTGAATGGGGATGGGTGCTGGTGGCTCACATGTGTAATCCTAGCCACTCAGGAAGATAAGATCTGAAGATTGTGGTTCAAAGGCGGCTGGGGAAGAAAAGTTAATGAGACTCTTCTCTCCAATTAAACACCAAAAAAGCCAGAAGCAGAGGTGTGACTCAAGTGGTAGAGTACCAGCCTTGAACAGAAAAAGCCAAGCAAGAGCTTGAATCCAGGCCCCAGTATGCATCATTTAAAAAAAAGAAAAAGAAAGAAAACCAATGAGCTAAATACTTTAATAGGAAGAAGACTCGATTCCTCAGCTGTGGATATGTGACATCAGAGAGCGGGAGAACAGGGACTTACATAATTTGAAGAGTGGATACTACTTTTTTTTTGGGGGGGGGAGTCAGTCATGGGGCCTGAACTCTGGGCCTGGACACTGTCCCTCAGCTCTTCAGCTAGTGCTCTACCACTTGACCCACAGCACCACTTCCGGTTTTCTGGTAGTTAATTGGAAATAAGAGTCTGCCTAGGCTGGCTTTGAAGCACAATCCTCAGATCTCAGCATCCTGAGTAGCTAGGATTACAGGCGTGAGCCACTGGTGCCCGGCTTCTAGTGTATTTTCAAGATAACTTTTTGAAACATATCAAATAGATATGGATATCAATACAGTCTTAATTTTCTTCATACTTTCATTTTAAGAAAGAATTTAACTACTAATGAGATATGTACTTGAATTTACTGTCAGAACTACTTCCAGTAAGTCTCTATCACTCATGAATATGTGTGCCTGTTACATCAAACAAACAAAAAATAACTTTTTCTTGTTTTGTTTTGAGACAGAGATTGGGCTAGTAGAACAAAGTCTCTCTCTCTCTCTCTTTTTTATAATTTTTATTATTTTTTGGGGGGGAGGTCCGTCGTGGGGCTTGAACTCTGGGCCTGGGCATTGTCCCTCAGCTCTTCAGCTCAAGGCTAGCGCTCTACCACTTCAGCCACAGCGCCACTTCCGGCTTTTTTCTTTTTGCTTATGTGGTGCTGAGGAATTGAACCCAGGACCTCATGCATGCAAGGCAAGCACTCTACCACTGAGCCACCTTCCCAGCCCCCTCTCTTCCCCCCCCCCGTCTCTCTCTCTCTCTCTCTCTCTCTCTCTCTCTCTCTCTCTCTCTCTCTCTCTCTCTCTCTCTCTCTCTCTCTCTCTCTCTCTCTCTCTCTCTCTCTCTCTCTCGTGTGTGTGTGTGTGTGTGTGTGTGTATGTATGTATGTGTGTTAAGTGTGTTAGTACCAAGGCTGATACTCAGTGCATTCAGCTCGCATCTTTTTTTGTTTTTATCAGTCATGCGGCTTGAACTTGGGACCTGGGCGCTGTCCCTGAGCTCTTTTGCTCAAGGCTAGTGTTCTACCACTTTCAGTTTTCTGGTGATAAATTGGAGATAAGTTTCACGTGAACTTTTTTGCCTGAACTGGCTTTGAACTGCGATCCTCAGATCTCAGCCTCCAAGAGTAGATAGGATTATAGGTATGAGCCACCAGTACCTGGCTCTTGCTTATCTTGATTGTACATGGCTGGTGCTCTGTCACTTGAGCCACACCTCCAGCATAGCTTTTTTTTTTTTTGTCAGTTGTGGGGTTATACTCAGGTCTTGGGCTCTGTCCCTAAGCTCTTCTGCGCAAGGCTAGCCCTCTGCCACTTTGAGTCACATCTCTACTTCTGGCATTTTGGTAGTTAATTGAAGGTAAGAGTCTCAAGGATTTTCCTGTCTGGGCTGGCTTTGAACCTCAATCTTCAGATCTCAGCCTCCTGAGTAGCTAGGATTATAGGTGTGAGCTACTGGTGCCTGGCACAGTTTTTTATTAATTGGAGTCAGAGTTTCTTGGACTTTTCTGCATAGCCTGCCTTCAAACTACAATCCTTCCAATGTCAGCCTTCTGAGTAGGTAGGATTTCAGGCATTAGTTACCAACACTTGACAAAGGCTCTATGTAGCTCAAGCTAGCCTCAAACTCATGAACTTCTTGGCCTCCACCTCCTGACTGCCATGTGCTGAGACTATACCCAAGTATACCATGCCCATTCTCAAACAGCAAAATTTCAGTCATTGCTACTTGAAGGTATCACTTATTCTAAAATCTTCTACAATTAGTCTTAGTTTCCTCTTCCTGGGCTAAGAATTCTCCTCAGGAATATACCATAAAATCTGATCTAAGTTTTTCCTGTTGTAACATTACCATTTATTTCCTGAAGTTTTAGGAAATGAATATTATACAACCTTTCATTTAATGGGTTTTCTATTTGTCACTGAATTATAATTTTATGGATTCTGTCCTGTAAGCTGATTCCAAAAATCCAGATATTATTCATAACAATACCAAATTAGGAGTTATAGAGAAATTTTCAGATAGAAAGAAGTTAATTTTTATTTTCTATTTTAAGGCAAAGAAATTTGTAAACCAAGAAACCAAAAATGAATAATGCCACAAGATTATTGATGTCTTCGTTGTTTCCCTTACCTGTCTTAGCTGTTTTAGATCAGATTTGTTTCCTACAAGAACCACAGGTGTATCATCAGTACGTCGAACTCGATAAATAAGCTGTTTAAATTCTCGAACTTCATGGAAACTTCGGCGATCAGTGATAGAGTAACAGATGATAAACCCTTCTCCTGCCCTCATATACTGATCCCGCATGGCTGTAAACTCTGCCTAGAAGGAAACAAGGGTCAATAATATATTGATGCAACTTAGAACTGCTATTTATTTCAGATAAAGAAGTGGCATGTCAATTACCTGCTATCCTGAGTCAGAGTGCATGAAAAATTAAGAGACAAACTAGTGATCTTCTCTGAATAAACCTTCCCCTCCCCTTTGTAACAGTGAAAAAATCTACGTGTAGCATTCTGGGATTTAATACCTGTCCAGCTGTATCCAAAATGTCCAGATTGGCAGGCTCATCATCAATGCGGATCCGGATTTTATAAGCATCCTCTGCAGGAGGGAAGAAAGGTATAATATAAAACTATGCATGCAGTTGGACATATATATTTGAAAGTTCATCTTAACAATGAAACTCCTTGGGCTGGGAGGGTGGCTCAGTGGTAGAGTGCTTGCCTTGCATGCCAGAGGCCCTGGGTTTGATTCCTCAGCACCACATAAGAAAAAAGCCGGAAGTGGCGCTTATAGAGCTAGCCTTGAGCTGAAGAGCTGAGGGACAGCGCCCAGGCCCAGAGTTCAGGCCCCATGACCGGACCAAAAAACAAAAAACAATGAAACCCCTTATATTGCACAATTAATATGTGCTGATAAAAATTGTGCTGCTCATGCTCATGCTCAGGTACTAGTGTTTCAACCACTAGCCTTGAGCAAAAAGGCTCAGTCAATGCCTCGGCCCTAAATTCAAGGCCCAAAGACTATATATTTAATTATATAAATATATATTATAATCCCTCTTTGTTTTTGTGTGGTGCTAGGGATTAAACCCAGGGCCTTTCACATGTTAGGCAAGCACTCTACCACTGAGCTGCATCCCACCCTTTCTTTTCATTTTCATACTATAGAAAAAAGGTTATAGGAGTGGTTCAAGCAATAGAGCACCTGCCTGGTAAGAGCAAAGCCCAGTACTGCCAAAGGCAAAAAAACTACAAAAACAGAAAAAATAACATAATTTAGTTCATTGTTGTCTAAATAGTCCATATAGTCATAATTCTTTTTTTTTTTTTTTTGGGGGGGGGGGGGTACAGTCATGGGCCTGAACTCTGGGCCTAGGTGCTGTCCCTCAGCTCTTCAGCTCAAGGCTAGCGCTCTACCACTTGAGCCACAGCGCCACTTCTGGCTTTTTTCTTTTTGCTTATGTGGTGCTGAGGAATCGAACCCAGGGCTTCAAGCATGCAAGGCAAGCACTCGACCACTGAGCCACCTTCCCAGCCCCTCATAATTCTTTTTTTTGGGGGGGAGGACTCCGGTTGTGGGGTCTGAACTGTGGGCCTGGGCGCTCTCCCTCAGCTCTTCAACTCAAGGCTAGCACTCTACCACTTCAGCCATAGCACCACTTCCGGCTTTTTTCTTTTTGCTTATGTGGTGCTCAGGAATCGAACCCAGGGCCTCATGCATGCAAGGCAAGCGCTCTACCACTGAGCCACCTTCCCAGCCCCCCTCATAATTCTTTTTTTTTTTTTTTAATTTTATTTTATTTTATTTGAGAACATACTGTATAGAGGGGTTACAATTACATGGGCAGGATAATGCATACATTTCTTACCAAGCATTGCAGCCTCCTCCTTTGTTTACCCTTCACATCCCTTCCCAGCCTCCCCCTCCCCCCCAGCCCCTCATAATTCTTTATAAAAGCAAATCTATGCATGTTTATTTGTTTGTTTATTGCAGTACAGGTATCTCAAACATGCTAGGAAAGCACTCTGCCTCTAAGCTACATTTCCAACTCCCATTTTTTTCTTTCTTTTTTCTTTTTTGTTAGCTGTGGGGCTTGAACTCAGGGCCTGGGCATTATCCCTGAGCTCCTCAGCTCAAGGTGAGTACTTTACTCCTTGAGCCACAGTACCATTTCTGGAACTAGAGATAAGAGTTTCACCAACTTTCCCGTCCAGGCTGGTTTTGACCTCTATCCTCAGATCTCAGCCTCCTGAGTAGCTGGAATTACAGGCATGAGCCACCAGTACCTGACTGTCCAGCTTATTTTCTGTGCATTACTATAGTAATCTTGGCAAACACAGAAAAGTAAAATGTAAGAGAAAAAATTCACTTAATACTTTCATTACTAAAATGACTGCTATGACTGCTACTTATATATCAATGTATTTCCTTTTAATTTTTTTTTTATACTGGCCCGGCGGGGGGGGGGGGGGGTGGTCAGCTTTTTGCTCACAGCATACACAAGTTAAAGTTATAATTCTAGGGCTGGGAAGGTGGCTCAGTGGTAGAGTGTTTGCCTTGCAGGCATGAGGCCCTGGGTTTGATTTCTCAGCGCCACATAAGCAGAAAAAAGCTGGAAGTGGTGCTGTGGCTCAAGTGGTAGGGTGCTAGCCTTGAGCTGAAGAGCCTAGGGATAGCGCCCAGGCCCAGAGTTCAGCCCTCACAGTCAACCAAAAAAAAAAAAAAAAGTTATAGTTCTAATTAAAGTTTGTAGACAAATTTAAAATAAAATGTACTGACTTATAAACTCAGTGCAGATACTTTGCCTTTTTTGCTTGCATTCTATCTCAGGGTCTACCACAATGCTTGGCATATAACAACTCAAGACTGAAGAATTTGCTACTGCATATATAACACTGTCAGAAAAGTAACAGATTGGAGCTAGGTACTGGTGGCCACAATTCAAAGTCAGTTTGGGTATATAAATCTGAAAGACTCTTTTTTTTGGCCAGTCCTGGAGCTTGAACTCAGGGCCTAGGCACTGTCTTAAGCTTCTCTTGGTCAAGGCTAGTACTCTATCACTTGAGCCACAGAGCCACTTCTGGGTTTTTCTGTGTATGTGGTACTGAGGAATCAAACCCAGGGCTTCATGCATGCTAGGCAAGCACTCTTCCACTAAGCCACATTCCAAGTCTCTGAAAACCTCTTATCTCCAATTAACTGGCAAAAAAAAAAAAAAAAAGTGGAGGTGTGGCTCAAGTGATAGAATATCAGGCTTGAGTGAAAAGACATGGGGAAGGGTCTGAGTTCAAGCTCCAGGACTGGCACAAAAAGAAAAAAGAAAAAAGAAAAGAACTGATTGGGTGGAAAGGGAATAGATTGATTAAAAACAAAAAAGTACCTTATCTGGCCATGAGTGCAGCTTAGTGTAGTGATAGGAGGGCTGCTTGCCTAATACATAGAGTCCTGGTTTCAATCCCCAGTACTACAAAAGGAAACAACTGACACTAAAAAACAAACAAAACAAAACAAAACAACCATATTCATATATATATATATGTATATGTATGTATATGTTTGTGGTTTTGTGTGTGTGTGTACTGCAACTTAGGGCCTAAGGCTATCCCAGCATTCTCAGCTCAAGGCTGGTACTATACAACTTGAGCTGCAGCTCCACTTCTGGCTTTTTGGTGGCTAACTGAAGATAAGAGTCTCCTGGAGTCGGGTGCCGGGTGGCTCACGCCTGTAATCCTAGCTGCTCAGGAAGCTGAGATCTGAGGATCACGTTCAAAGCCAGCCCGAGCAGCAAAGTCCATGAGACTCTTATCTCCAATAAATCACTAGGAAACCGGAAGTGGTGATGTGGCTCAAGCAGTACAACGCTCGCTTTGAGCTGAAGAGCACAAGGACAACGCACAAGCCCAGAGCTCAAGCCCCACGACCGACCAAAAAAAAAAAATAAGAGTTTCCTGGATTTTTCTGCCTAGTGGGGTGGGGGTGGAGGTTCAAACCTCAATCCTCAGATCTCAGCTTCCAGAGTAGCTACGATTACAGGTGTAAGCCACCAGCATGTGGTATGACCCTGAGTTCTAAAGTGATACTAACTTATATACTGATTTTATTCATAGAACTACAATAGTTTGAATCCTAGAACAATGTTCTGAACTTGATATAATAAAACTACAGATTATAGCTCAATGGTAGAGTCTCTGATTTAGATTCCCAGAACCAGAAAATGAAACAAAACACCTATTACAATACATACCCCCCCCCAAAAAAAAAAAAACTCCACCAAAAAACAAAACAGGAACTGTTTCTATTTTGTGCTACACACACAAGCACACTCTGCATAAGCTGGGTCCTGCAGAATACTCACTGGCTTTGTGGAAAACAGCAGCTGAAGTCTGAACCAGAAGAAATCCTTCTGGGAATCATACTGAAAATAACATAGTATCCTCCCTCACTCCTACTTTTCTTTATATTAAGATGTAACCCCATAGGGCTGGGAAGGTGGCTCAGTGGTAGAGCACTTCCCTTGCATGCATGAGGCCCTGGGTTCAATCCCTCAGCACCACATAAGCAGAAAGAAAAAAAAAAAAGCTGGAAGTGGTGCTATGGCTCAAGTGGTAGCATGCTAGCCTTGAGCTGAATTGCTGAGGGATAGCACCCAAGCCCAGAGTTCAGGCTCCAAGACCAGACCCCTCACAAAAAGATGTAACCCCTGGGGCTGGGAAGGTGGCTCAGCGGTAGAGTGCTTGCCTTGCATGCATAAGGCCCTGGGTTTGATTCCTCAGCACCACATAAGCAAGAAGAAAAAAGCAGAAGTGGCACTGTGGCTCAAGTGCTAGAGCACTAGCCTTGAGGGACAGCGCCCAGGCCCAGAATTCAGGCCCATGACCACCACCACCACCAATAACAACAAAAAAGATATAACCTCTTAGTCTGTGGGTATAATTCAAGTGGTAGAGCACTTACTTGAAGCTCTGAGTTCAAACTCCAGTACTACCAAATAATAATAATAATAATAACTCCCTAAGGATCAAATTAGCTTTTTATTGTGGTTTAGAAATGACAGTGAAATTCTTTTTTTTTGGTCCGGTCTTGGGGCCTGAACTCTGGGCCTGGGCGCTGTCCCTCAGCTCTTCAGCTCAAGGCTAGCGCTCTACCGCTTGAGCCACAGTGCCACTTCCGGCTTTTTTCTTTTTGCTTATGTGGTGCTGAGGAATGGAACCCAGGGCCTCGAGCATGCAAGGCAAGTACTCTACCACTGAGCCACCTTCCCAGCCCGACAGTGAAATTCTTAGTCTTTGTGGAGAATAGCACTTAAGAAAAAATTTTAAGGAAGTGGAGCTGTGGCTCAAGTGGTAGAACACTAACTAGCCTTGAGCAAAAAAGCTTAGAGACAGCTGGGTGCTGGTAGCTCATGCCTGTAATGCTAGCTACTCAGGAGGCTGAGATCTGAGGATCATGGTTCAAAGCCAGCTTAGACAGGGAAGTCCATGAGACTCTTATCTCCAAAAAAACCACTCAGAAAACCAGAAGTGGAGCTGTGCTTCAAGTGGGAGAGTGCCCGCCTTGAGCTGAAGAGCTGAGGGACAGCGCCCAGGCCCAGAGTTCAAGCCCCATGACCGACCAAAAAAAAAAAAAAAGATAAAGAAAAAATTTTAAAAAGAACAAACAAAATGACCCAGTGGCTCACACCTGTAATCCTAGGTACTCAGAAGTTGAGAGTTGGGATCACAGTTTAAAGCCAGCCCTGGCAAGGTAATCTGTGAGACTCTTATCTCCAAGTGATGCTGTGGTCAGTGATAGAGCTCTAGCCTTGAGGAAACAAGCTCAAGGGACAGTGCTTAGGCCCTGAGTTCAAGGCCCACAACTGACCAAAAAAAAAAAAAGATCCCTTTACTAGAATTCTGCAAACAATCAGGAATTAAAGACTGCAAAAGACATGGGAGAAGCTGGGCACCAGTAGCTCATACCTATAATCCTATTGGGATTATAGGATTGAGGTTCAAAACCAACCTGGGCAGGAAAGTCTGTGAAACTCTTATATCTAATTAACCACCACAGGAAGTGGTGCTGTGGCACAAGCGGTAGAGCGCTCGCCTTGAGCTGAAAAGCACAAGGACAGCGCCCAAGCCCAGAGTTCAAGCCCCAGGACCAACAACAACAACAAAAACCTAATTAACCACCACAAAGCTGGAAGTAGAGCTGTGTCTCAAGTAGTAAGAGTGTTAGCTTTGAGAGAAAAAATTCAGGGACAGTGCCCTGGTCCTGAGTTTAAGCCCCAGGACTGGCAAAAAAAAAAAAAAAAGACATGGGAGAATGGGAGAAGATATTACTATATACAAGGAAGTAAGTGAAGTGCTTCAAGTGGAAGAAGTCCAGGCCCCACATGCCTGGGTTGTAAGAGAGTTCAATAGGCTGGCTCTACTTGTTTTTCTGCTTCCTTTTGTGGAAGTTCAAATCAGCTGACTCATACTTACAGTGTTAATCTCTAGTCTGACCCTTAGAACCCTTAGCAAAAAAGCCTTCATTATATGGCCTTTAAGTTCTACTAACTATAAAAAATATGACAAAAAAAAGTTGTCTCACTAATCTTTAAAATAGAAACTAAAAGATGGCTTACATACAGAGTTAAATCTAGAAAAGGGAAATACTGTTGCTTACTAACTGCTGTGATTTGTTTCTCAATAAATCTGAATGTCAAAAAATGTTTAAATCTGAGTTAATGCCAAAATATAGTTAAAAAGCATTTTTAAAAACTGGCAATGAGCTTGGTGGCATATCACTATAATCCCAGAACTCAGAAAAAGCATGAATTTGGAGTCAGCCTGAGTTATACAGCAAGACCCTGTCTCAAAAAATATAACAAAATTGATACTCACTAAGATATTAAAAGAAAAAAAACCTAACCGGGTACCGGTGGCTCATACCTACTCAGGAGGTTGAGATCTGAGGATCACGGTTCAAAGCCAGGCCAGGCAGGAAAGTCTGTGAGACTCTTATCTCCAATAAACCACTAGAAAACCAGAAGTGGCATTGTGGCTCAAGAGGTAGAAGGCTCACTTTGAGCTGGAGAGAGCAGGGACAGCACCCAAACCCAGGGTTCAAGCACCACAACCGAGGGGAAAAAAAACAAAAACAACAACAACCTGATAGTTTAATATGTTTGTAGATACAGGAGAAATGCAAGATTATTTTATTTATTTATTTATTTATTGTTGTTCACGGTACTTGAACTCTGGGCCTGGGCACTATCCCTTAGATCTTCAGCTCAAGGTGAGTGCTTTACCACTTGAGCCACAGTGCCACTTCCAATTTTATGGTGGTTTATTAGAGATAAGAGTTTCATGGCCTTTCCTACTCAGGCTGGCTTTGAAACAAAATCCTCAGATCTCAGCCTCCTGAGTAGCTAGGATTACAGGCGTGAGCCACTGGCACCTGGCCAGACATTTATGAAAAGATGTGTGTGTGAGAGAGAGAGAGAGAGAGAGAGAGAGAGAGAGAGAGAGAGAGAGAGAGAGAGAGAGGGAGAGAGAGGGAGAGAGAGAGGGAGGGAGGGAGAGTATACAGGGCTTGAACTCAGGGCCCTTGAGCTCTCAGCTTTTTCACTTAGCTGAAGACATGCCTTCAGTTCTGGCTTTTTGCTGATTATCCAAAGAGTGTCTGGAAATTCTTTTCCTGGGCTGGCTTTGAACTGAGATTTTTAGATCTCAGCTTACTGAGTGTCTAGGAAGATGTTTTTTTTTTTGTTTTCGTTGGTCATGGGGCTTGAACTCTGGGCCTCAACACTGTCCCTCAGCTCTTCAGCTTAAGGCGAGCGCTCTACTGTTTAAGCCACAGCACCACTTCCAGTTTTCTAGTGGTTTATTGGAGATAGAGTCTCACGGACTTTTCTGCCAGGGCTGGCTTGCTTTGAACGGTGATCCTCAGATCTCAGCCTTCTCAGTAGCTAGGATTATAGGCGTGAGCCACAGGCTCCCGGCTTAGATGTTTTATTTTTCAAAGAAGTTTCCCCTATTTCTCTTTTCCATCTTCCTCCAAACAGTAAGTTTAACTTTATAGAGATAAACTACAATTATATTTTTAAGTTTTATAACATCATTACTGTGTGTATGTGTGAGAGTGTGTTTGTGTCTGTGAGCTGATCCTGGGGCTTGAACTCTGGGCTGGGCATTGTACCTGAGATTTGTTGTTCAAAGCTAGCCCTCTACTACCTGAGCCACATAGCTCCACTTTCAGCATTTTTGGTAATTGGAACTAAAAGACTAATTGGACTTTTCTGCCCAGGATAGCGTTAACCCATGATTCTCAGATCTCAAGCTCCTGAGTAGCTAGGACTATAGGCATTAGCCACTGGTGCCCAGCTCACACTACTAACTATACTGTTTCACAGTAAACTTTAGTTGACTCCAAGATTCCATCCAGCCAGGCACTGACTGGTGGTTCATGCCTGTAATCCTAGCTACTTAGGAGACTGAGATCTGAGGATTGTGGTTCAAAGCCAGCCCAAGCAGGAAAGCCATGAGACTCTTATTTCCAATTAACCACCAAAAAGCTGGATGCAGAGCTGTGGCACAAGTGGCACAGCACTATTCTTGAGCAAAATAGATCAAGGACAAAACCTAGGCCCTGAGTTCAAGCTCTCATACCACCACAATATAGATTGCAATTTGAAGCCAGCCTGTGCAATAAAATCTGAGACTTATCTCCAATTAAACACCAAAAAGTGCTGGGCACCAATGGCTCACACCTGTAATCCTAGCTACTCAGGAGGCTGAAATCTGAAGATCATGGTTCAAAGCCAGCCCGGGCAGGAAAGTCCGTGAGACTCTTTTTTTTTTTGAGGGGGGGTTTGGTCGTGGGGCTTGAACTCTGGGCCTGGGCGCTGGTCCCTCAGCTCTTCAGCTCAAGCCACAGCACCACTTCCGGCTTTTTTCTTTTTGCTTATGTGGTGCCGAGGAATCAAACCCAGGGCCTCATGCATGCAAGGCAAGCGCTCTACCACTGAGCCACCTTCCCAGCCCCACCCCCCCAGACTCTTATCTCCAATTAACCAGAAATAGCACTGTAGCTCAAAGTGGTAGAGTACTAGCCTTGAGTGAAAAGCTCAGGGTCAGTACCCAGGCCCTAAATTCAAGCCCCATGACTGACCAAACAAAAACAAAAACAAATAAACAGCAATGATAGAAATGAAAGCAATTTTAATGAAATTGCTTTTTTAATTAAAAAGGAATTCAAGAGGACATTAAATATAACTAAATGCACTTTAAATGTAAGACCACATATTTCCATATTAGTATGTAGCAAATATCTAAACTGTCTACCCAGAATTCTTGTCTCAGGATACATTCCAAGAAAATAACAGAGAAGGTGCTTCATATTACTAGGTCTACTTTAAAAACCATTGACAGCCCTTGAGAAAATTATATTAGTCTTTCATTTTATGAGACAAATTTCTATCGGCCCTTTTGTTACACCCTTGCACCCAGCTTTGCCTTTATTTGCATCATTAGGTTCTTGAACAGTTTCTCTAGGCCATTTACCACCTAGATAGGGAAAATAGAGGGATATAGGCCTCCAAGAAGTTTCTGAAGAAATATAGTAGAACTACAATGATAATATAAGGAATGGAACCCGTTCTTTGTATTTCCTTGTAATTTCCAGGTGGGAGCCCCTAAACACCACCAAAAAGTCCAAAAAGCAATGTCCACACTTTCCACTAAGATATTTGGAGAGGTTCTGACTTACCAATGGTGGGATCATGATCCTCTGGGAATCGGTGGCTGATGAACTGCATGGTCATGGCTTCAAAACAAGAGATGGAAGTTAAGGAATATTAAGTACCAACTTTGCTCAATAGCCTGTATCCCATCTGGTTTGGGAAGAGGCCACATGTATCACATACCGCTTTTCCCCACACCACCAGCGCCCAGCATCACTAGTTTGTACTCTCGTGACAGTCCTGCAGGGCTGCTACAGCAGCTGGCAACTGGGCGAGCTCCAGAATCCATTGTCCCCTTGCGGAATCAGGGGCCACCCTGGGGAAGGGCCACCTAGAACAAGTAGAAATGATTTAATGGATGGAGACGCCCTGACGGCAGTCCTAGAAAGCTCTACCTTCTCATACATTCCTGCCTGTCACTCTTGATCAGAACTCAATCCTTTCTGGCAGCCCTGAGAAAGAAACTCCACCCTCTCCCCTAGACTGTTCAGTCCTGTGACACATCACAGGTTTTGGGATTTATTCTTCTGGAAAGATAAGAAGACAGAAATTTAGAATTTCTTTTCAAAACAACACCCCGGTAGGAAAGGAACCTAGTGAGGATGAGATCGGAGGACCAAAAGGCTGCCCCGTGGGCCACAGCAGGGTCCTTTGGTACCGGAGGTCCCGCCTACTCCCTGTCTCCCGAGAGCCCTCCCGGCCCGCCGCCATCATCTGCCCCACGGCCAGGTCGCCCCAGCTGTTCATACCCTTGGAGCAGGAAGCTTTCCTGATCACCCAGGAGCTCCTTCACTAGCTGGAGACACGGGAGGTTCGGGATCTGACCTGTGACCCTCCCATGGCTGGGTAAGATGGCGCCACCAGCGTCCCAATGGGAGGGGCAGGGCAGCCCAGCGCCGCCCAGCGCCGCCCCGCCTCCCTACCCAGGTCCATAAATCTAGCTCCGCCACTGGTTAAGGCAGGGCCCCTGCCACCTATTATTCTCAAGGTTTGCACATACATAAGTGGATGTTGCTTCAAGGAAGCAAATTTATCAGAGTAGGGAAAGGAGCAGGGGACTTCCAAAGCGAGTAATTTAGGGCTAATCTGACCAAATTTAACCCCCTAACAAGGAAATGGGGCAACCTCCCACCACCTCAAACACTAAAGCATGTATGTATCGCTTCCTAGTATGTTTCCCATTGTTATCTTTTTTTTTTTAAGTTATTGATTGTATATTTATTCTTTGGACAATGTCACCCGCTCTTTCACTTCCTGATCTCCCCCTCCCATCCCATCCCTGCCCTCAAGTCACATAGTTCATATTCCACATAGTGTATACTGAATACCATGACTGCATTTGTTCACCTTTTCTCCCTCCCTTTCTGAGCCCTTACTACTCTAAAGAAGAAAAAAAGGAACCAAGTGAATTATTCTTAAAAACAAGAGTAGGTCTCTAAAATGTTTACATTACCTTAGTTAGAATGCTGTGTACCTGGGCTGGGAAGGTGGCTCAGTGGTAGAGCACTTGCCTTGCATGCCTGAGGCCCTGGGTTTGATTCCTCAGCACCACATAAGAAAAAAGAAAAAAGCCGGAAGTGGTGCTGTGGTTCAAGTGGTAGAGCGCTAGCCTTGAGCTGAAGAGCTGAGGGACAGCACCCAGGCCCAGAGTTCAGGCCACACGACCGGACCCAAAAAAAAAAAAAAATGAAAATTTTGTTTTAAATATATGGTTCTGGGCACTGATGGCTCATGTCTGTAATCCTGGCTACTCAGGAGGCTAAGATCTGAGGATCACGGTTCAAAGCCAGCCTAGGCAGGAAAGTCTCTGAGACTGTTTTTTGTTGTTGATGATGGTTGTGGGGCCTTAACTCTGGGCCTGGGCACTGTCCCCCAGTTCTTCAGCTCAAGGCTAGCGCTCTACCACTGGAACCAACACTCTGCAACTGAGCCACCTTCTCAGCCCCTGTGCTGGTTTTAACAAGGTTCTTTTCACTCAGCATTAGAGTAGCTAGGATTATGGATGTGAGACACAACTGCCTAGCATGGGGAAGTTCTTTTTTTTGGTTGTGGGGCTTGAACTCTGGGCCTGGGCACTATCTATCAGCTCTTCAACTCAAGGCGAGCGCTCTGCCACTGGAGCCACAGCGCCACTTCCTGCTTTTTCTGCTTATGTGGTGCTGAGGAATTGAACCCAGGGCCTCATGCATGCAAGGCAAGCACTTTACCACTGAGCCACCTTTCCAGCCCAGTCTGTGAGACTCTTATCTCTATGCATGCACTAGAAGAAACTACACTGGGATTTCCTATGCAACTTTTGCGAACTGGTCTTCCTACTAAATATCTTTCCTTGGGCTGGGAAGGTGGCTCAGTGGTAGAGTGCTTGCCTTGCATGCATGAGGCCCTGGGTTGGATTCCTCAGCACCACATAAGCAGAAAAAGCTGGAAGTGGCGCTTTGGCTTAAGTGGTAGGGTGCTAGCCTTGAGCTGAAGAGCTGAGGGACAGTGCTCACGCCCAGAGCTCAGGCCCCATGACCGACAAAAAAACAATAACCATAACAGTAACTGGAGGCATGGTTCAAGTAAGTGGAAGCATAAGGTCGGGAGTTCAAATTCTAAGAATAACTTCATATCCCTTAAGATGAATTTCATTCTTTTTTTTTTTTTTTTGTCGGTCGTGGGGCTTGAACTCTGGGCCTGGGCGCTGTCCCTCAGCTCTTCAGCTCAAGGTGAGCGCTCTACCACTTGAGCTACAGCGCCACTTCCGGTTTTCTGGTGGTTTATTGGAGATAGGAGTCTCACGGTCTCTCCTGCCCGGGCTGGCTTTGAACAGCGATGCTCAGATCTCAGCCTCCTGAGTAGCTAGGATTACAGGCGTGAGCCACCAGCGCCCGGCTTATGAATTTCATTCTTGAGATAGAGGCATTGCTCAAAAAAAGGATGAACAAGAACTAGAGTGAGACTGACTGCATGTTCCAGTCCACCATACCTATATATTTTAAAAAAATAAAAAGTTTCACCCACCCAGTACTCTTAACTCTGTGAAACAAAAATAAATGGAAAATAAAGCCAGGTGCCCAGTGGTTCACGCCTGTAATTCCAGCTACTCAGGAGGCTGAGATCTGAAGATTGCAGTTCAAAACCAGCCTGGGCAGGAAAGACCATGACTCTTATAAACCACTCTCAATAAACCACTCAGAAAACCGAAGTGGCACCGTGGCACCGTGGCTCAAGTGAGAGCACTAGCCTTGAGCTGAAGACAGCACCCAGGCCCAGATTTCAAGACCCATGACAAAGAAAAAAAAGGGGGGGGGATGGGAAGGTGGCCCAGTGGTAGGGTGCTTGCCTTGTATGCATGAGGCCCTGGGTTCCATTCCTCAGCACCACATAAGCAGAAAATCTAGAAGTGGCACTATGGCTCAAGTGGTAGAGCGCTAGCCTCTAGATGAAGAGCTGAGGGACAGTGCCCAGGCTGAGTACCAAGAAATTAAAAGAAAAAAAAAAAAAAGAGGGAAAGAGGGAAGGAAGGGAGGGGAGAGGAGGGAGGGGGGAGGGAGGGCAGGCCAGTTCAGACAGCCCTTAATCATACTTCTCCTAAACTACCAAAAGTGGAGCTGTGGTTCAATGCAAAGCCTTGAGCAAAAGCTCAGGGACAGAGTTCAAGCCCCAGGACCAGCCACATGCATACACATAGAAAAATGCTAGCCAGGCACAGGAGGCTTGTGTCTGTAATCCCAGCTAAGGATGAGTTCTGAGGATTGCAGTTCAAAGCCAGCCTTGGCAGTAAAATCTGAGACCAAAAAGCACCAGGCTCTGGTGGCTCATACCTGTCATCCTAGATACTGAGGAGGCTAGGATCTGAAGATCACAGTTCAAAGCCAGCCCAGACAGGAAAGTATGAGGCAAACTACAAGTGGCACTGTGGCTCAAACTGGTAGAGCACTGGCCTTGAGTAAAAGCTCAGGGACAGTGCCTAGGCCCTGAGTTCAAGCCACACAACCAACAAAAATAAACACCAAAAAGCTGAAGTGGAGCTGTAGCTTATGGGGTAAAGTGCTAGCATTGAGCAAAAATCTCAGAGGCAGTGCCCAGACCCTGAGTTCAAGCCCCAGGACAGGCGTGTGTGCATGCACACACATACACGCTGAAAGTAGGGCTCAAGCCGTATAGCTCTAAATTCAATCACCAAACTGCCAGTAAGTAAAACCAGAAGGGCTAAGGGTATATCAAATGGCAGAAATTTCATAAGCACAATACTCTAGATTAATCTCTAATACTAAAATATCTAACATAGATTAGGAAACTGTCTAGCATAAAAAGACTTGAACTTGCCAGGTACCGGTGGCTCACACCTGTAATCCTAGCTACTCAGGAAGCTGAGATCTGAGGATTGTGGTTCAGAGCCAGCCTGGGCAGGAAAGGCTATGAGATTTTTTTTTTGTCAGTTGTGGGGCTTGAACTCTGGGCCTAGGCGCTGTCCCTCAGTTCTTCAGCTCAAGGAGAGCGCTCTACCACTTGAGCTACAGCGCCACTTCTGGTTTTCTGATGGTTTATTGGAGATAAGAGTTGCACGGACTATCCTGCCCGGGCTGGCTTTGAACCTTGATCCTCAGATCTCAGCCTCCTGAGTAGCTAGCATTACAGGCATGAGCTACCAGCACCCAGCTTGTGAGACTCTTATCTTTAATAAACCACCAGAAAACTGGAAGTAGCTCTGTAGCTCAAGTGGTAGAGTGCTTGTCTTGAGCTGAAGAGCTGAGGGATAGCACACAGGCCCAGAATTCAAGCCCTACAACTGACAAATGACTTTTTTTTCATCTACACTTCAGGGGTATGTAGTTATAAAGTCTTGGGACCATATGCAAACATTGTCCATTCACATATTTTGGGGGAAGAAAGGTTAAAATTATCTTATGCTATGGGGAAAAGTGTGTAGGTTGGGGGAGAGAGGGAAACAGAAACCACAAGCAGAATATTTATACATTTATTTATAATGAAATTATGGTATAATTATTTACAACATATAGGAAACCAGAGGGTAAGTTTGTACAAAGCCAGCCTGCAAAGTATTCAAATGTGCAAAAATGACAGTTCAGTATCTCAAACTACTTCTGGTTCAGCAGACTAGCTTCTTCACTTTCACACATCAATATTTGATACAAAAAAGTTCTTTTGGCAAAACCTGTAATGCCAAGAAAAAAGGACAAGTTGCAATTTCAGTCACTAAGTCCACCATCCTATTGAGCGTTGTCCAATCTCTCTATTTTAGCTGCAACCAGTTCTCAGAGAGACAGACCACTGTGTTTCATTTCTGTGATGAGTTCTGACCAGCTTTAAAAAAGTCAAGTAGTTTCTTTGACCCAGCTGAAGACAAGGAGCATATAAGAGCAATAAAATTAGCAATGGCTATCGAGACAAATGTGCCTTAAAGTGCCAGCTTTGGATCATCCCAATAAAAAGACAATGAAAAAATAGCTTCATTTTTCTATTCAGGATCCAGCTGTATCCAATGATTTTAAATTAGTAAAACAGCATTTTCACAACAGAAAGTACCCAAATGAAATAGGAATAAGGATCTTAAAAGTACTGCAAGGAAAGGATGATCTTAAAAATCACTTCCCCACTAATAAATAGTAAGGCTGTTTATAACAATTTATTATTAAAATTGACCCAACAGTCTTAGATACAAATAAACTTCGTGTCAGAGTTGAGGCTATTTATCTGGAAAAAACTGGACCAGGTCAAAACATATATGGGAATAACCCTGCTGTAATGCTTTGTTGGACAAGCACATTTCACCAACTATTAAAAAGCTTGAGACAAATTTGTGATTCTAAGTAAATTTTAACAGATGTTATGCCACTGCAGAAACAAGATTTTTTTTTT